GAAGCGGAACCCTTCATTGATGATGAGGTCAAAGGATTAGAAGCGACATCTGTTTTAGAGGAACCTGAGGTTGTAGACAAAGACCTGATCTCAGTCTCAGAGCCGTCTATGGACAGTGGGGTTTTTGTTAGCATGCCAGATACTCTGGTAGATGTGACGGAGGCATCAAAGAAAACTATGACCAGAGAAGCAGCTGTGGCTGAACGAAAAGGTAAAATAGATAGGTTTAAAGTTTATGGAAATCCAAAACCTGAACTACTGACAGTTAAGCCTACTGTAGATGTCCTAGTGGGACAGGAACAGGAAGGAGACAGTTTGGAAGGTGCCGCGACAGCAGCAGTTGGTTCTATGGAGGAAGAGGAGGTCACCTTTGGTGCGGTCTACAACTACTACAACCCTCCAACAGACTGGGGTAGACCACTGTCGCCTGAGTCTGAGATGTCCATAGAGATTGGCAGCACCATGAGTGAAGAAATACCCGAGCCAGCGGAGAGATTTTACACCCCAGAGTCCTCCACTGAGGTCTCGCAGCCAATTGCAGAGTCCCTCCACACTCTGAAATCTCCTCTGTCCTTTCACACTCCCAGTTCTGACTCACCTGGCAGGTTTAAGACACCTGAGGAGTTTCCCTTCTCCCCTGCAGAACATAAGAGACCCTCCACGGGAGACTCCAATGAGAAGTTCTTCTCACCTGTTCAGTTCTTGAGCTCTCCTGCTGATGAAGGTTTTAAAACTGACCCATCAGTACTAAACCTGGATGAAAATCAACTCCTCAACCCCATCATAGGGTCTTTGGGACTGGCCACCCTTCAGGAGAAGGTCCAGGGAATACCTCCAGCTTTCCTCAAACCTCTAATTAAGAAAAGAGTGTTTGAAAATGACACTCTGACCTTTTATGCGGAGGTTTTTGGACTACCTTCCCCTGAGGTTCGGTGGTTTTTCAATAAAACTGAACTCGTGGCAGACGACAGAATTAGAATGGAGAGAGACGGCGATAACATCTCTCTAACGATCCACAGCATCACTAAAGCTGATCAGGGGGAATATATCTGTGAAGCTGTGAACTATGTTGGAGAAGCCAGAAGTGTTGCTCTAGTGGTGGTTGTATCACAGGAGGTGAGGTTCATGCCAGCACCTCCTGCTGTCACCCATCAGCATGTAATGGAGTTTGATGTGGAGGAAAATGACGGCTCTCGTTCTCCTTCGCCTCAGGAGATACTGCTTGAGGTAGAACTGGATGAAAACGACGTGAAGGAGTTTGAGAAACAGGTTAAGATCATCACCATTCCTGAGTACACAGCTGACAATAAGAGTATGGTTATTTCTTTAGATGTGTTGCCCAGTGTTTATGAGGAGGGCACTGTGGATTTCATCACCCAGGAACACAACGATTTGAAAATAGCTTTTGAGGTCACAGAGATGCCTCCGAGGTTCATCAATCCCATCTGTGACATGGAAACTCCAGAGGGTACCACTGTAATGTTTGAGTGCTCTCTGATGGGAATTCCTTCTCCCATTGTATCCTGGTTCAAAGGTGACAAAAAAATTCCCCACAACACAAAGAAATACCTGCACTCCTCTGATGGAGACAACCACTTCCTGAAGATCTGTAAGGTCACTCTGCAGGAAAGTGGAGTTTATACCTGCAGGGCTATAAACCCTGTTGGGGAGACTCTGTGTAGAGCCTCCCTGGTGGTGTTGAGTGCAAAGGCATTCTCAGGGAAGACCAGGGGAAGGGAGCTGACCGCTGTGTCTTTAGGAAGTGCTAAAGTCCAGCCACAGAAGTTTGACATGATGGTTGGCAACACGTCATTTGATGGTGAACAGGTGTCCGAAATTGAGCTTGAGTTTGAGTTTGAGCAGGAGGCCGACGAGTCACAGCGGGCAGTCCGGCTGGTGGCCAACACGGACAACCAAACAACCGACCAGGGAGAGAAATATGTCAGCATTAACTTCAGTGTTTTTGCTGAGCCAGCAAAAGATGAAAAGATAGAGTTCAAAGGCAAGTCCTCTGAAATGTGTAACTTCCACTTCCAGGTGACTGAGATGCCCCCTAAATGCGTAATCCCCTTAAATAATGTAACGACAGCAGTTGGTACGCCTGTCATCCTCCAGTGTTTGTTTAACGGGAAGCCAAACCCCACTGCCGAGTGGTTTAAAGATGGAGAGCCCATCACAGACAGTAGATGTATAATCCAGGAGAAAAGTACTGGTCATTTCAATATGCTCATTACCAACGTGACCCAGAGTGATGCTGGAGAGTACAAGTGTCTGATCCAAAACTCTGCCGGTTCCACAGAAACCACAGCCCTACTGAAGGTGTTCTAGAGCTGAAGCCTGGGAGGCTGGTGGCACAAAGATCAACCTGAAGGTCTTCTGCTCCACTTGTCTGACTTTACACTAGTTTGATTTTCATGATCGAACATTAAACTTCCTTTTAGCAGTTTTCAGAAACTTTATTGACATCAAACAATCCAACTAGTTTCTTTCTGGGTTTGATAAATTCATCAGATTACATTTCTGTCTGACGTGTTGGGTCGGTTTAAGAGCAGAGTTTTGATCGTCTTTGTGTGACCAGCCACCAGAGGAAACATTTGTTTAAAGAGCACCAGGAAGTCGTCTGTTTCTAGTTTTACTTCATGTTCTGTTAGTTTCGTAAGTCCTGAGTTTTAATTAGTTTGTCTTAGAAGAATCGAGGTTTAGGTTTTGATTTTTGATGACTCATGTGAGTGACTTAGAATTTAGAGAAATTAAGTTTTAATTGTTTTTAAAACTATTTGTGACTTAACTGCAGCTGCTTGTTGGAACTTGTTAGAGTTAAAGAGTTTCTGTTGTGGAGATAATAATGGATACTTTTTATCAAGTTTCCACTGAATGTAAAACAGCAGCAGTTTAGAAAGTTTGGTGTGTGTATGTGTGAAGAAAACGTGACAAACCAAAATGAAACATATTGAAGACCGTTTTAAATTATTTGCTAAAATAGAAATATTTTATGTAAAGGTTAATTTTTTTTTTCTGACAGCCAAACAATTAATTAAAAACCTTATTTAAAATTATTTAAATTTCACAAAAACAACAAATAGGAAAGGCACTTTGATTTAACATGTTTTTATGTAAAAATGTTTTTATGTAAAAACATGCCTGTTTGGCTCATCAATCAAAACAGTTTAAATTATGACAAGATTATAAGAAGGAAGATCGTTTTTCAGCTTCACCCTAAATACTTATTAATAAATTGTCTTTGAGCCCTGATATTAAACATTTTATACATTTATTTTATTAGAAACAAATCCAAACTCCCTTGATTGCTAACTTCTGTTTGATTTATTGTTTTTCTTGGTTTAATTGTTTTCTTTTGTTGTATTTTGTCGAGTGTTAGATCTCTCATCTGGTTGTGAATGAAAATGTTAAATTATAAAGCAAGTAGAAAATTCACAGAGTATCTTGACTGAAAAGTTATTTTAAAAGCAAAACTGTGAAACTTTTTTAAAACATTTGTTTGAATGTTTTGTAAATATGTGTAATTTTAGGAATGTATGAGTGCTCAACACAAACCTGCAAAGTTGGAAAACTCTGGTGTTTCGATGGAAGCTTTGTTTGGTTCATTTGTACAGGAATTGTGTTGGTTTGTTTGAGTTTATATAATAAAATATTTAATGTTTTCAAGTTTAAAGTTGAGTGTTTTTGTTTTTCTAGTCCAGAAATCAGCGTTCAAACGGTTTAATCATCAATCTTTAATTGCAAAAAATATCTATTCAGCATACATCAAATTTCTTCTATTGAACCCAACAGGAATTTGAGACTTATTTAGTAATTTTTTTAGCTATGACGGATCCAAATTCTTATTTTGAAAAGTCAACTGAAAACTTCTTCATGTTTACCCTTTGGGTTATTTTTGACTCAACACCAGATTTTTTTATTCGGTTCTCGTGAACTTCAAAGTCTTAATCAAAACTAACTTGTTTCAATTTTTCAAGATTTCTGAGGGCGGCCATGTTGGAAAAATACAACAAAGACGATCCGGTGACTCAGAATCTGCTGAGTTGTCATGAGGACCACAGTGTTTCCAGATATACCATAATTATTGTATTTTCACTGTAGTTTTAGGTTTCATATGTTATATGATAAATGGGTTTTAGTAAGCCTAAATATATGATAGTTTTAACATTTATGTGAACAAAACAAAAAAAACGTTTTCATTCACACAAACACTAACATATCAGAATGTTTGGTCAAAATATGATAGTTGTAAAGCAACAGTACTATATTTCTTATCTAGTACCCCTGGATGAGCACACAGCTGCACTCAATCAAACAGGCAGACAGAAAAATAAACTAGAGCTTGAGCCACAAACAAACTGTAGCTGTGGGGGGGGGAAACAAACAAATTGCATCAAAACTATTCTTGACCCATGAGCAGCAGAAGGTTCTGATTGTACCACAAGTTCTGTTTGATATTCTACAGGATTTTATGGAGGAGATATGACATGTTAAAAAGAGCCTTCACTTCCGGTTTGGAAGGGGAACTTCAGAGCTTAGATGCAATGGAACTCAATAGTCCACTGGGTGGATGAAGACAGAAGCGCTGACAATTCGATGCTTAAACAGATTAAGTATTACAATATTGGAAAATGGTATAGAAAATTGAGTGTGGCATCATCAACCCCATCATCAGAACCAAACAGGACTGGGTTTAACACTCAGTGGGTATCTATGGGGACATTTTTCCTTTCATTTCTGTCGTTTGATGTTTGCTACAGAAACGTAGCTCACTGTTCCTCACTGAGCTGCACGTTTTCAGTTTTTTTTGTTCGGGTTTTTGAAATCTGCAGGAGGAGTTTCTAGACTAAAATCAGGATATTTGGTGAATAATAATAAGGCTGCTTCAGTGCTTATGAATTGGCACACTCATACATATAAATATTTGTTTCATGTATTAATTGTTAACAACTTTTACTTTGTGGACCTTGTTATCAGTGTTGATCAATATTTTCCGACAGAACGATCTAGCACCACCATCACCACCATGGAAGAACAAGAGGAAACCTACTACACTGGTGTCCAGTTACCACAGAAAACTAAAACACTTGAACTCAAGCCAGAGTCCAAACGTTACTCCTCCTCTTTAGAGAAGAAAAAAGAAAAGCCAGTTTTCCTCAGTCAGCTCTCACCAGCGGCTGTAACCGCAGGGGAAACTGCTAGGTTCACAGTCCAAGTGTCAGGCTTTCCAAAGCCTGCAGTTCAGTGGTCTCACAATGGGACAGTGATAAAGACCTCCTCTGTGTTCACACTGTTAGAAGAGAAGGAGGAGTACACCCTGGTAATCACCAAGGTCACATCTGAGTATGAGGGCGAGTACTCTTGCACTGCCACCAACAGGTTTGGTCAAACAACTTGCACAACATACCTTGAAGTAAAAAAATCTGACATCAGCCAGGCAGAGAGATGGGTGGAAAAGATGTTTAAGGTTACGGGTCAACCCCCCACATTCACAGTTCAGATCCAGCCAGTGAGGTGCTCAGAAGGAGGAGAAGTTTCATTTAATTACAGAGCCAGTGGTGATCCAACCCCTGATGTGAAGTGGTTCAGGGGGGCTTTCCAGATCCAGCCTAGTAAAAACTGTGTCTTTGTAGCTAATCTTGATGGATCTGGGCAGATTAGTATGAAGAACATCAAACAGGAGGACAGTGGTTTGTACACATGTAGGGCTACCAACCAATTCGGTGAGGCAGCTTGTACTGCCGAGCTGGTTGTGTTTAAAAAGCCCATTTCTCATAAAGAAGAGCTCACTGTGGTTCAGAAGAAAGGCTATAAGGTTTCAGTATCAGAACAGGCAACAGAGTCTCGTCTGTATCAGGTCAGCCTCCCAGGTCAGGACAGAACCAGGTCAGATCAGATGGTTTACACCATTGGTACTGAAGACAGGAAAATCATTCAGAGTGAGCAGGTGGACTCACTTCAGGAAGTCAATGTCTCTGCTGCCACTGTCCATCGGGAGAAGTTGACTCACCAGGCAGCAGTGCTTCAGGCTCATGAGGTAGAGGAGAAGGTGTCAGTGGGGCTGACCCACCCAGCTCTGGTGTCAGCTGTTCCTGGAAAACAGCTCCACATGGCAGCGTTTACATCATCTGTGGAGGAGAGTCAGGGCCTCACCGAGCAGCACTGTGATCGCATTCAAAGTCCTGAGGTCGTCAAAGTGCAGCCAGCCAGAGAACAAATGTCAAAGATGATGTCTGCTGTGGCTGAGGAACTCACCCCACTTTCTACTGTCAGCACAGGGCTCCTGACTGACAGGAAGCCTGCTACTATTAAACCCACCCCCGAGCCTAAACACCTGGTCAGCGGGCATCAGGTTGAATCACAACTACCCATCATGAAGGAACAGTCTGAGGATATTCCCAAAACACAGGAAGAGAAGGGCTACAAGGTTAAAGAGGGGGTTAAGATTTTATACTCAGCCCAATCTGATGAGAAGCGACTGCTTGAAGAAGGCCACACATCTGAACTAGCAACAGCAGAATCTGCTGTTCAGTCCACCATTATTAAAGAACAGCATAGACCCATTATAACATCACTCACTGAGTCCAAACAGACTCTTTCTAAGGAGATTAAGTTCTCCATGGAGAGGCCTGCAGAAGAAGCAGCCCATCTCTGTAAGGACACAATGATGAAGGCAGCTTTAACCACGGAGGAGAGGCAGACGCTCCAGGCGGAACCAACCCAACATCTGCCAAGTCTGGACAGTGCAGTCTCTGTTCAGTCAGAGGTGGAAAAAGGCCAGGTCCTTCACCTGCAGGTGATCACAGATCAGGACCTCCTTCCATCTGAGACGAGCTTCACCTATGAGAAGCCAGCATCAGAGCAGGCAAGTACCAGGAAAAGTCCCACATTGCTGCATGCTGTTAGCCAAGATGAGCAACAGACTGTGGCTTGTGAAGACTCTTCTGAATTTGAGGCCAAGGCCAGCTCAATGGTCATCCAGCCCCAGAAAGAGGCTCCACCTTTGTTGCATCTGCAGTCCACCCAGCCTGTGGAGGTGCTACCCAAAGAGGGTGTTCTCACCATGGAGAGGCCTGACCAGCAGTTAGCAGCACAGAAACAAGAAAAATCAAGGATCCATGCTGCTGTCTCAGAAGAGAAAAGAGAGATCACAGCAGATTATCATGCAGAGATGGATTTGTCTGTGACTGGAATTCAGTCCAAGCTTCGAATTGAGCCCAAGCCTCAGAAGATCCTCCAGCTTTCCTACCAACCTATGCAGCTGCCAAAGGAGACACCCATCACTACTGATGTTAGACAGCAGAAAGCTTTAGTTCAGAAGGAGGATCGCTGGAACGTGATGCATGTCACCTGTGTAGCAGAAAGTCAGGCCTTAGAAGAGGGTCACATAGATAGTCTGTCAGGTGTTGACACATTTAAAGGTGTGATGGACATAGAGCCCAAAGTACCCACAGAACCTGTCCAGATCGAGGAGAAGGAGATCTCCACAGAGAGCAGTATCTCATTGGTGGCAGCAGAACAGGACTTTGCTGTCCAGATTCAGGAGGGTCAGTCAGTCAGGCAGTCTATAGTGATGGATGAGAAGAGAATCCTGACTGGGGAGCTCTCTCAAGAGATTTCTAAGTCTCAGTCCACTAAAATGATTGTCAGTATGCAGCCAAAACCATCCTTGATGGCATCAGAATCTAAAGACAGCACAGCTCTTCCTAAAGAGATGACATTTGTGATTCAGATCCCCAAACCATCTAGTCTGAATATACGACACCAGCTCAGAGAAGCTCTTCAGTCTGCTATGGCTAGTGACCAGCCAATCTTACTGGCAGATGTTGTTGGAAGGTTACAGGCTGTTGAAGTGCAAGAAGTCAAAGTTCAACGAGAGCCCAAACAAGCCATGTTTACATATCTGATTACAACAACAGGTGCCCCCATGGAGATCACCCTGGCTTTTGAAGGGGAATACCCTCAAACAGCTGACCTGAGGACTGAACTCCAAGCAGCTTTTTACTCCATTGTATACCAGGAAACCCAAGTTCTTACCTCAGAGCAGCCAGGCACCATGCAGATAGACAAACCTCAAAGGGCTCAGGTCACTTCAGCCAGGTCTAAACAGATGCTGTCCTCTGTGGTAGAGACTGTGAGCATGGCAGAGACTGCAGTAGGCTTTACAGCAGTGAAATCCCAAGCTGCTGCACTGAAGACCGAGTCTGAAATCACACTTGAAAGTTCTGCAGGAGAGAAACAGGTTGTAGTGCAGGAGTCCAAGGCAGCCAAGGTGGAAAAGTCAATTTCATCTCAAAGAAAAACTGTGGCAGAGGCTCAGATGGATTTTGAGCAGTCAGTGCAGGTATCAAGACAAGAAATTAAGTCTGTATCAGTGGAAACTAAACGTTCAGTTGAAGTCAGCATTCAACAGGAGCACAGGGAGGAGATCTTGAAAAAGGAGATGACAATATCCAGGCCAGAGCAGAGAGAATACCCTGAAATAGTTACTCCTTTGGAGGATTTATCCATTGACGAAGACAGTAACGTAACCTTTAGCACAACCATTAAGTATACCACTAAGGTAAACTGGTTTTTCAATGGGAAATTGGTGAAGTTTGGCAAAGAGTTCAAGTGTTCCACAGATCATGACACATACTCACTGATTATCAACAAAATTGTCAAGGAGAGGCATCAAGGAGAGTATGTTTGTGAGGCTGAGAATGAAGCCGGCAGGACAACAACATCTTCAAGACTCACTGTGGTCCCAAGAGGTTTGAAAACAGGAACAATTATTGTATCATTTATTCATTCATCCACTACTAATTCATACAACCGGGTTCATTCCAAGTCACTCTGGTTTGTGGATTCATTTCAGCATGAGCACTGTTAGCAGGGCACCGAGTTGTACTAACTCACCATGTTTTGTTCATTCCACATCATTTCCTGATCAGTCCTAAAAACCAGAACCATCACATCCATGCAAGTTCATCAGAAGTTTTTGTGGTTAATGGTGATCTTGCAGTTATGGTTGTCATGTCACTGGTTTTTGAGACTCCATGGTCTTTTCATGATCACGCTAGCATGTCAGAGGCAACAGGTTCTGAATTATTGGTCTGTCTCATTTCTTCAGGTCCATTTCCTTCACTTCACCATACTTTTCTTCTGGCATGTTTGATGGCTTCAACTCTGCAGTTTCATAAAGTGTTTGTTTCTCTTTGTTTCAGCTAGAACTGTAGCCCAATGAGAACCTCCTTCAGTGAAACCATGGGGCTATTGTTCTTGCTGTTTTTTTCCTCCTCCACAGTCTCTCATGATTTGTTTCCACCCTTGTTATACATTCCACCGTCTGTGCTCCTCATATGTCACCTTTTTGATTACAAGAGTAGTAGTGGATGTCATAACTAAAACTTGTGTTCTACTGTGTCTCTGTGTGCCTTAGTGCCGCCTGTTTTCAAGCAGAAAATCAATCCAGTGGACATCAATGTTGGGGACCATGCAAAGTTTGACTGTGAGACGGAAGATGCTCCAAACGTGACCTTCAAATGGTACAAATCTGGTATTGAAATCAGGCAGAGCGACAAGTATCGTATCATTAGCCACCACAATCATTCCTCTGTGGAGATCCTGAACCCAGTGAAGGCTGACAGCGGTGATTACACTTGCAAGGCTTCGAACCAGCATGGCTACGACAGCTGCTCGGCCTCTCTCATTGTTACAGGTAAGATCCCAGTGGGAACCTTTTAGATTATTACTGTATGTGTCTGTTGGAGAGAGAGAGAGAATTATATACAAGCTGTGCTTTGTTCTGACTTCTTATGGTGCTGTGTGGAAGGCAGGGTTTGATTTCAAAAAATATTTTTTTTCCTGATTACACCCACACCCCTCACCAAGTTGGACAGTTGACTTTGTTTTGATGTTCCTCTCATGTTTTAAAACACTGTGTATGTTCTGCCTGCTTTCCATAGAGATGTACCCGCCAGTATTTGTTTTAAAACCAGAGCCAATGACACTGTTTGTGGGTAAACAAGCTGTTCTGCAGTGCTCACTCACTGGATCTTCACCCATGGAAGTTGTATGGCACAAGGACAATGTAGTCATCTCCTCTGAAGGAAACTATGTCATAAAAAGTGAAAAGAACAAGTTTTCACTTAATATAAAGAGTCTTGAGTTGACTGATCAAGGGGTATACCTGTGCAAGGCCTCCAACAGTGTTGGCACAGCTACATTTACCACTGAGCTCAGAGTTATTAACAAGCCCAGCTTCGTTAAGACCTTTGAGCCGGCATCAGCTGCTGTCAATGAACCGCTGAGGCTGGAATGCCAGGTGGACGAGGACACTGGGGTGACAGTCACCTGGACCAGGGATGGTAAAAAAGTCCACCAGAGCATGGACTGTAAGATGCCTTTTGAGGACAAAGTGGCTGTTCTTGAGATACCCAAGTCCAAACTGAAGGACTCTGGGAAATATGTGTGCACAGCCACTAATGAGGCTGGGAGCTCCTCCTGTGAGGCTATGGTAACAGTTCAAGGTAAGACCCCGACAGATCAGCTGGTTTTAGTTCTGAGACATCTGTAGATGTAAGGTGGTAGTTTAAAGCTTTCATCTGTTTCCAACCATGTTGCTGCTAACACTTTACATGGCTGTCCTTTGTTTTTCTTCATAATGTTCTGTCACTTGATGTGTTTCTGTCTCTGTTTGGCAATATACAAGTACTGTATAAGTGTTTGTGAACACTCTTCCAGAGCCCCCTGCTTTTGTCAGAAAAATGGAGCCTAAGATAACATGGAAGCAGGGTGCACCTGCACGCTTACAGTGCACTGTTAAAGGATCACCAGAACTACACATCCACTGGTTCTGGAACGACCGGGAGCTTAGTGATGGAGACAAATATAAGCTCACCTTTAAGAACGGAATTGCTTCTGTGGAGATCTTGAACCTTCTGGTCACAGACAGTGGCACCTACACTTGCGAGGTGTCTAATAATGCTGGTAGTGAGAGCTGCAGCACATTTATAGCTGTTAAAGGTGTGTCCCGTGTCACATGTACATTACTCTCTGTTTAGTTCAGAAAACCTGTGGTAATAACTGCATACACTTTAATCTTTTGATATTCAGAGCCTCCATCCATTAGAAAAGATTTACTGACTGTAGAAGCTGTAAAAGGAGTTGCAGCTCACCTGGAGTGCGAGATTGCAGGAACTGCTCCTTTTGAGATCAGCTGGTTAAAAAATAAGAAACCCATCACAAGTGACCAGAAGTTTAAAATAATCTCCCAGGATTCTCTCTCAAGACTGGAGATCCAGACATTTGAAAGTGCAGATGTTGGTGATTATCAGTGTGTTATATCCAACGATGTAGGGAAAGTCACCACCAAGGCCTCGGCTAAACTGAAAGGTTAGTGAACCTCTTAAAGACTGAGGTTTAATGCTGCTCCTCACATCTTCAGGCTCAGTTTTAATGTGTAACATGTTTCTTTAGAGCCACCATCTTTCTCAAAGAGAGTGGAAAGTGTGACAGCCATGTTGGGAAACCCAGTAAAATTACAGGGAACCATTAAGGGCTCATCTCCTATCACTGTAAAATGGAAGAAAGACTCTGAAATCCTCAGAGATGATGATCCAAACATCAAGATGGTGTTCGGGAACAATGTTGCAACCTTGTCCATAACTGCAGTGGCTATCAGCCACGGTGGCAAGTACTCATGTCAGGCAGAAAATGAGGCTGGGCAACAAAAATGTGAAGCCACCCTGACTGTGCAAGGTCTGACAAAAACAGTTTATCTCTCACCTACAGGTTCAAATCTTTCTTTTTATAACCATCAACTCTCTTACACTAGAACCTGCCAGAATCGTAGAACCTGCAGAGTCCATTAGTGTGACTGCCGGGGATTCGGCCACACTGGAGTGCACCATTTCTGGAAGTCCAGAGCTGAAAGTGAAATGGTTTAAAGATGGAAAGGAAATGATCAGTGGGCGTAAATATAAAATGACCCTGAAGGATAACATTGCCACCATGAAGATTCTGACTGCAGAGAAAGGAGACACTTCAGAGTACAAAATGGAGGTGTCCAATAAAGTTGGGAAAGACCAGTGCACATGCTCAGTCACAGTGTTAGGTCAGAACATCTGCTCTCCTGCTCATTTTTTACACGTTTATCTACCTTACTTATTAAACACTAAATAGCTGTCTTAGAATAAAGACCAGGGCTCAAATGAGGGTCCGGTAGTAGAATCAGGGACAAGGGGATGAATCAGAGACCAGGTTTTGAATCAAGGACCAAGGTCAAATCAGGGACAGAGGTATAATCTGGAATCAGGAGTACAATCAGAGACCATAGGTAGAATCGTGGATCACAGGTAGAATAATAGACTATGGGTAGAGTTATGGATTAGGGGTAGAATTATGGATGAGGGGTAGAATCAGGAGCTAGAGGAAGATTCTGGGCCAGTAGTAACTGAACACCTCACATATAATTGTTAAGTGTGATTATGAATATTTATTGCAGCCAAATTCCAGGACTTCATCAGGCAAACACAACTTGATTTGATTTAAAAACTGCTTCAGAATTAAATGTGTAGAAGTTTATTTTGCCTTCTTTTATTGTGTGAAGCATCTTTTTTTTATTTGTTTTGACTTCCCAAAATGAAAGTGATTTCAACCTCAAGTTAAACCAGAGTTTACTTGGAGTGATTTTCAGAAACAGCACAAACTGTGTTTATATATGAGGTACTTTTTTCTTCAATAACCAGATCGAATAATGCCTCCAACTTTCACCAAGTCCCTCAAAAGAGTTGACGGCAATTTTGGTAATGACGTCTCCATGGACTGCAAGGTGTCTGGGTCCCAACCCATGACCATATCCTGGTTCAAAGATGACCAGGAAATAAAATCTGGAGCCAAGTTTCAACCTGAGTTCAAAGACAGCTCTGCTATGCTGAAGATCAGTTGGCTGGAGAAGACCGACTCTGGAGTTTACAAATGCAGAGCTTCCAACTCTGCTGGCTTTAAAGAGACCAGCGGCACACTCTACGTTAAAGGTCATGAGTCTTATTGAGTGTTTTTGTGTGTTTTGTGTTATATCTTTTAAGTGCTTTCATGCTAACATGAAGTGAATCTGTGCTTTGTTGATGGCCTCCAGAGCCCCCAGCGTTCACAGAGAAACCAGAAAACCAGGACGTTATACCTGGAGCCAAAGTTTCCTTCAGAGCAGCTTTCACTGGAACTGCTCCTTTGGCTATCAAGTGGTTCAAAGAGGAAAAAGAAATTGTCACGGGAGGCATTTATTTTATAAAGAAGGATGCCTCTTCCAGCTCTTTGGAGCTTCACTCAGTAAAACCCAGTGACTCTTCCAAATACACCTGTCAAGTGTCCAACGATGCAGGGAAGGTGGACTGCACCACAGTCCTGTTTGTGAAAGGTGCTTGTCTTCAGTTCTATGTGGCGCTGCATGAACATGTCTCTACAACATGAATGTGATGCTAACATGTCTCCTGTCCTGTATTGTATGTTAACCTCTTATCTCAGAGCCTCCCGTCTTTGTGAGGAAGCTTGATGCAACCAAACTCATCACCAGCGGCAACTCCACCAGGCTGGAATGCAAAGTGACGGGCAGTCCCGTAATCAGTTTCAAATGGTTCAAGGATGAGATGGAGATCAGCACTAGTCCTAAATTCCTAATCAGCCTGACTGATGTAGAGGCAACTCTTGAAATATTAAACTGTTCAGTGGAGGACAGTGGAGATTACGTCTGTGTAGCATCGAGTGAGGCAGGAAATGACCGGTGCAGCAGTACGGTCACAGTTAAAGGTTGGTTTATCCACAGACTTTACTTCTGATTATCATCATGATTCAGTATCTGTTCCTGTTTTAGGAAGTTAAGCTTTTGATTTTGAACATTCAGATTGTGTTTATTAGTCAACAACATGCTCTCAGTGAACCTTTGAGAGAAAATTCTGGTTTTTGAACTGAATGAGTATATTTAAACTCCCAGAGGTTTTTGTTGCATTCTAACAGCTTCAGTTTCTTCAGTCTGGTGTTCTGCTCATTGTTTTGCTCATTGTTGTCTTTTAGAACCTCCAGTCTTTATACGTAGTTTGGAGTCCAAAGATGTGGTGAAGGGTTCTGAGATGATTATGGAGTGCCAGGTTTCTGGTTCTGCTCCTTTCACTTTGTCATTTTATAAAAACTCTAAAATGATCAGAAATGACAGAAGACATCGGATCACTGTGAAAGAGGACCTGCTGGCCCTGCAGGTCCTGGCAGTGGAGGCAGGAGATGTTGGTTTATACCAGTGTGCTGTTGAGAATGAAGTGGGCAGATCATCCTGTGAATGTCAAGTAAACCTCAAAGGTTGGTTTCATTTTGCGGTTTTTAACTCTTTATCATTAAATAATGCTTTGATTTGATTTCTGCTTGTGTCTGCAGTTGGAAATTAGAACATAATTCGATATTTATATACCTTTATTTTTCCTTTATGCTTGACAGAGTCAATAATAAAAAGTTAAAAATCCACTTTTTTTTTGTTTAAAGTAAGGTCTTTCTTGGAAGGCCTTCAAAATTATACAACCTTAAATCCATTAGTTTGGGTGGTTTGGAAAATGTAAAAATTGTGACTTTGGCATGATTTCTCATTTTTTCCTTGTAGAACCACCGTCATTTGTAAAAAAGCACGAGAACCTCAGTCCTCTGGTTGGCAGTGACATTTCTCTGCAGTGCATTCTGAAGGGCTCCGAGCCCATCACAGTGACCTGGTTAAAAGATAACCATGAACTGAAAGAGGCTGAAAATGTTCATATTTCTTATGAGAACAGAACTGCCATGCTGCAGATCAGCTGCCTTCAGAGTCAACATGGAGGCAAATACTCATGTCAGGCTCAGAACCAGGCTGGCAGTCAAACATGCTCGGCTCTGCTGATGGTCAAAGGTTGGTTAGAGTTCTGCTTTTATTTGTAAATTTACAAAAAAAATGTGCAATAGTACAGTTATGAACTTCAAAAGTCACACATTTGAATTAACTATCAGAAAGTATGGTTTAAGTAGCCAACAAAGTGACATTTAACATAAAGGAACAGCGAGTACAACAACAATTATCTAAGAAGAAAACAATGTTTTAGATTTTATCAGTATGTCACACCTACTAATTAGACCAGAGATAGAATCAAGGACCCAGGAAAGAATCAGGGACCAAAGGTATAATCAGGGTTGTGGGCTAGAATCATGGACTGGAGACAGAATCAGGGATCAGAGTTAGAATCCGAGACCAAGGATAAAATCGGGGACCTGAGATAGAATCGGAGTCTGGAAATAGAATCAGGGACCAAAGAAAGAATTAGAAACCCCAGCTAGAAGTACCAAAAAAAAAAAAAAAAAGAATCGGGGGTGGGGAGCTAGAATCAGGGACCGAGAGTAGAATCAACGACCAATGAAAGAATTAGAAACCCAGGATAGAATCAGTAAACAAAAATAGAATCAGGGACTAGAAGTAGAATTGGGGACTGTAGATAAAATCAGGAACTATAAATAGAATAAGGGACTAGAGATACAATTGTGGACCAGGGATAAAATCTGGGACTCGAGAAAGAATCAGGATCTGGTTTTTAAGAACGACCATACAAGTTGATGAGAACCAAATGAGTCCTTTCTTTTATTGAACTTATTTTATTTATTGCTGACATTTTTTGTTGATGTTCCAGAACCAGCTAAGATCACAGAAGATGTAAAGTCTATCAGTGTGACGCAGGGGGATCCAGCCACGTTGGAGGCTCGGTTCTCAGGCACAAAACCACTGAAGGCCAAGTGGCTAAAAGCTGGGAAGGAGCTGACCTCAGGCCAGAGATTTAAAATACAAACCACAGACACCAGCTCTGTACTCAAGATTATCAAAACTGAGAAAAGCGACAGTGGTGAATTCATCTTTGAGATTTTAAATGACGTTGGTCAAAGTTCTTGCGAGGCCACCCTTACTGTCCTTGGTCAGTTCTTGATGTGCAGAGTGGATTTATCTTATGTTTTGTATAATTTACTTTTAGTTTCATTGTTGCTTATGGATGTTTTCTTTTATATCCATGTTAGATCAAGTATTTCCTCCATCTTTTACAAGAAAACTGAAGCAGACAGAAGGTATCAAAGGATCATTTGCTCAGCAGGAGTGCCTTGTGGCTGGCTCCCTGCCAATAACCATCCAGTGGTTCAAAGATGAGAAGGAGATCCAGGCTGATGAGAAACACAAATGTACATTTTTTGAGAATGTTGCTTGTCTGGAAATATCTGATCTTCACATTAAAGATGGCGGCAGTTATACCTGCATAGCTAAAAACAAAGCAGGGACAGTCCAATGCTCCGGGATCTTGGTAGTGAAAGGTCTGAACACGGTTTTGGTTGGAGGATGTGTGAATCAAAGCTGTTTGAAATGATTTTACAAACACCGGTTTGTTTTTTCTTACAGAACCACCTTTCATTCTTCAAAAGCCAGAATCCATGAATGTTTTGCCTGGCTCAAAGGTCCAGTTTAATGTTCTGGTCTCTGGCACGCCACCACTGACCATCAAATGGTTCAAAAACAAGAAAGAGATTTTATCCAGTTCTGACTGTTCTGTGGTCAAAGACAACACTTCAAGCTCTCTGGAGCTCTTCTTTGCTAAAACCACTGATTCTGGAGATTACGTGTGTGAAATACAGAATGATGTTGGCTCCACCTCCTGTCAGGCAGCACTCTTTGTCAAAGGTTATCTGTCGTTATTTGACATAATTCTTTAGTTAGGGCATGTTTTGATTTACTTCTCTTTGGTAATCTTTAGTTTCTAATTGGACATTGATACATTGTTGTAGTTTCACTTGTACTATTTTCAGAATGACTCAATCATACTCACAGTCAATGGTGTTTTTTTGTTTCTCAGAGCCTCCTAAGTTTACACGGACCCCGGCTCGTTTGTCTGTAGTGCGACCCGGTCAGAGTAAAGTGTTTGAGTGTCAGGTAACTGGAACACCTGAGATAGACATCTACTGGTTCAAGGAAGGCTCTGAGATCAGTGCTGGTGATCGGCACGTGATTACCTTCGTTAATTCAGTGGCCACTCTGGAAGTCTGTGGAGCTGATGCCAAAGATGGCGGCCTTTACTACTGCGAGGCTCGCAATGAGGCCGGCAGTGTGAGCTGCAGCATGGAGCTCAAGGTCAAAGGTCAGCATCTTACTGTGCCATAGTTCAGAGAGTCAAAACCTTAAAGAGTTGGACATGAAAAAGTTCTGGTGGAACAGATTCTTATTTTTTGGTTTCATAAACTTTTAGGTCTAATGACTCATATACAGTAATTCTCTGTTGTTTAGATCATCAGTTATTTACAACAAAATAGACTCTTGAGGGACATTTTGTGACAGTTTATTCTCTCCCATCTCAGAGCCACCATCATTTATTAAAGAACTGTGTGCAGCTGAGGCGGTGAAGGGCTCCAGAGCCTGTTTTGAGTGCCAGGTTGCAGGGACAAGTCCGTTTGAGATAACATGGCACAAAGATGGAAAGGAGATCAAGCCCAGTGCTAAACATGGCTTTTCCCAGCTGAATGACACTTTGAGCCTGGAGGTGCACAGGTGTGATGCTGTAGATGTTGGTGAATATCAGTGTAATGTAGCTAACGAGGTGGGCAGCTGTACCTGTAAGACGACACTAAACCTCAAAGGTTGGTCTAGTTAGAGTTATAAATCCACTTGTTTTATTCTTTTGAGGGGAAATTTGAAAATTTCACTCTGTTTTTCTAATAGAACCACCAACATTTACGAAGAAACTCGAGGACAGTGTTACCATTCTGGGTAAGAAGGCAGAGTTTCAGTGTGTTGTGGTAGGCTCGCCCACTCTGTCTGTACAATGGCAGAAAGATGAGGACTGGATCCTGGAGGATCCAAAGATTGAGAGAACATTTGAGAACAACGTGGCGACTCTCAGGATTCCTGCTTCTGAGGCGTCTCACAGCGGTAAATATGTCTGTCAGGTGGTAAACGAGGCTGGACAAGATAAGTGCTTTGCTTCTCTCACAGTGCAAGGTAACCTGAGAGAAATCTGTCAGATTCTTCCGCAGTTTAAACTTGGTCAGAAACCTTCTCAAATGTTTGCTTTGCTTTGTAGAGCCTCCTCAGATCTTAGAGAAACCTGAGGAGATGAAAGTTACCGTTGGAGATCCAGTCAGTCTGGACTGTAAGGTGAAAGGCTCACCTGAGCTCAAGGTGAGATGGATGAAAGATGGCAGGGAACTGCAGTCCATCAGGCAGCACAAGCTGATCTTTGAGAACAACATCAGCAGTCTGAAGATCCAGGCTGCTCAGAGAGCCGACGAAGGAGAATATGTGTTCGAGGTGTCAAACCACATCAGTAGCTGCTCTTGTAAAGTCAAAGTGGTCGTCTTAGGTTGGTGTGACGAGCATGTCCGCTGTGGCTCGTGCCCACACCTTTACAGAGTCTGATGATGTTCTTACTGTTGTTTTGGTGACAGAACAAGTGATCGCACCGAGCTTCATCAAACCACTCGTAAACATGCAGGAGATTTTGGGCTCCTTTGTGCAGATCTGTTGTAAAATATCTGGTTCCCTGCCCATCTCTGTGGAGTGGCAGAAAGACGGGAGAAAGATCTCAAGTGGTGTCAAGTACAAACTCATTCAGCAGGACAACTCTGTGTCATTGGAGATAGAACAGCTTGAGATCTCTGATGGTGGATCTTACTCTTGTAAGCTGACAAACGCAGCAGGAAGCTGTGAAAGTAGTGGATCCCTCACAGTCAAAGGTCAGACTCTGCAGCTCTGTTGGTCCTGAAAACAAAGATGAGTAGCTTTTTAACCTGCTTTATTTTATCATCTTCAGAGCCGCCCAGCTTTGTGACGCTGCCCGAACCGCAGGTGGCTCTGCCCAATGCCACCGTGCGCTTCAAAAGCACATTTAAAGGCATGCCTCCGTTCACTGTCAAATGGTTCAAGGAGGACACGGAGCTCATGACTGGGCCCAGTTGTTTTACAGGCATGGACGAAACCTCGTGCTTCTTAGAGCTCTACTCAGTGGCCGTAACTCAGACTGGAGTTTATTCTTGCCAAGTCAGCAATGATGCTGGTTCTGTACGCTGCAGTGCAGATTTAACAGTCAAAGGTTGGATCTTTATTTTCTTAATCAACTCTTTCATGGCTTCATTCATCTCCTGCTCTGGTTAAAATTTGTTGAATTAGTCCTGCTTCTCAGATCTGTGGAGTTTTTTCACTATTTATTTTATTTTTTTAACTGAATGCAGCCTCTCATCTTGTGGCCTTTGTGTAGCATCAGCTGCTAACCCATCAGTGTCAGCTGTGTCTTGCTCAAATGCTCTTTTCTGCTCCCAGCTGCTGACATGCCTGTGTTTCGGTTTCCAGAACCACCTGAGTTTGTGCTGAAACTCCCCGCCACTAAGTTTGTGAAGCGGGGTGAATCACTCCGGCTGGAGTGTAAAGTCAGTGGCTCGGCCCCCCTGAAAGCCACCTGGTACAAACACGACACCAGGGTCTCAGAGGGGGGGACCTGCAGGACATCTTTTGTTGACTCGGTGGCAGTCTTGGAGCTGCTGTCCAGCAGCTTTGATGATGATGGAGTGTACACGTGTGAAGCTCAGAATGATGCTGGCAGTGTCAGCTGCAGCACCACCCTAACTGTGAAAGGTCGGGCTCTCCTTGACTTTCTCCTACTTAACGCTGACAGCCGTAACAGCTGGACTTGTTTCATGTTTCCATCCCTGATCCCGGATGGTGAAATCTTGTCTTCTTTGTTTGAGTCTTTAATTTTTCTGCTGCTGAGATGCTAACGTTCTACCCTTCAGACCCACTTAAACATTTAACCTTAACCAAACATTATTCTGCTCTTATTCTAATATCATTCTAAACAATTTTCACAGCTTCCCCTATAACTCTTCCAACTGTAGTCTCTTCTCAAAACTCACATCTTTCACAGTGCGCTGTCTGATAAGCACATTTACTGTTATAACTGTAGGTCTAACAGCTTTTCAACACCCTAAAGCCATTAAAACCTCTGATAACAACTTTCAACAAGCTTATTTGTACAGTTTCTAATCCTCACAGAAGCTGTTCCTTAAGAACTTGATCACAAATTCCACAACAGTTCAGATCATTTCACCCATAACTCCACCTCTAACCAATTCTTCATCAAATTCCACATCGTTTATCTTCAGTCTGAGCTTGTTGTGGAAAATTTCAGTTTCAGAAACTTTTAACTTTAAATTCATGATTCTCACATCTTTAAAACACAACTGACATCCTAACTCATAGAGTTAGAGCCAAACTAATAACTAATCTCATTATCTGATTGTTTTACTGAAAGATTTAAATTTAAAGTTTAAATTAAACTCTGCTGTCTTCATTATTGTTTCAGGAACAACCATCACTGGAGTCTTAATAACTTTCCACAAAAACACACTTGTTCATAGTTTCAGTCCAAAGTTTCTATCCATTTTGTTATAAGGTTAAATATTTAATTTGGTCCTTTAATGATTGATTCGAACCGTGTTTTTTTCAGGGTGAACTAATTCTACAACAACCAGCTTTGTTCATTTTGAAAAACAAGTTTGAATTGAATTTTTTAATTAACACAGGGTCTAAATTAAATGTACATGCTCCAATATATCCATACACCCACTAGTATTTAGTTAAATGTCCCCCAGCCAGTCTCAACTGAACCTAAGGATTTTGTCTCCATCAAGAAGGTTCTGGCAGAATTCTGGATGATAATGGACCTCTTTTCTTCTTGGAAGAACTGGAAGGCTTGAGTTAAACTAGTTGCTTTCCTGGAAACTGATCCAGCTTTTAATTAGAGTCCACAAATTTTCACTCAGGTTGAGGTCAGGACTTTGGTACAGCCAGGTCCAGAAGCTTGATGTTAGTCTAACTGAATCAGCAACGAGTCCGGTCTTTAAGAGTTATTGTCCCAGTGAAGCAGTCAAATGACACAAAGACTGATCTTTTTGGCCACAAAGACAAGAAGGATGACTGAAGAAATCAAGACGAGTCTTTCAAACCAAAGAACTTTGTACCAACTGTCAAGCATGGTGATGGTAACATCATGAAGTGGGACTGGTCCATTGCACAAAGTAGGTGGGACAACAAGGAAGGAGGACTAAATTCTTCAACTTCACCTTAGACTAACAACTTCACAATTGAAACCTAGGTCCAAAAGGACAATGATTACAAACGCACATCAGAGCTGGTTTCTGATTGGATAAAAACGTCAGATCTGGTTTCTGATTGGATAAAACAGGCTGAGATCAAGCACCTGGAGTGGCCTTCCCAAAGCCCCGACTACAACCTGATTGAATATTTAATGTAAAACCAAGTCTGTTTCAGAAAACCAACCAGTTTACTTGAACTACGAGTTCTGCCAAGAAGAAGAAAAGTGACTGGATATCAGCCAGAACGCTGGAAATGGAGACACAAAGCCTGAGGTCCAGGTGACATTGGCTGAAGGACGTTTAGCTAAATATTAGTGGAGAGTATGGATAAATCTGAGCCTGTGTGTATAATATTGACCACGTGTGGATCAAAGAATCCATGATAAATTTAAACTTGTTTAAAATGTAATTGAAGCCATGAACTGTAGAATCATCTCACCCTGAGAATGGAACGATTTAAATAAACCTATTAAAGACCTAAAAAAAATGACATTTATGTTGACAATGAGTGTACAGTGGTTCTTGAAAGTTTGTGAACACTATAATTTTCTACATTTCTGCATAAATATGACCTATAACATCATCAGATTTTCACACAAGTCATCCAAGTGGATAAAGAGAACCAGTTAAAGAAATAAGACCAAAAAAATAATACTTGTTAATTTATTTATTGATGAAAATTATCCAATATTAAATGTTTGTGGATTGCAAAAGTATGTGCACTTTTGCTTTCAGTATCTGGTGTGAACCCCTGTGTAGCAATAGCGGCAACTAAATGTTTCCATTAACTGTTGATCAGTCGTGCACACCGGCTTGGAGGAGTTTTAGCCCATTCCTCTGTACAGAACAGTTTCGACTCTGAGATGTTGGTGGGTTTCCTCACATTAACTGTTTGCTTCAGGTCCTTCCACAACATTTGGATTGGTAAGTTCATGACTTTGACTTGGTTATTCCAAAACGTGAACTTTATTCTTCTTTAACCATTCTTTGGTAGAACCACTTGTGTGCTGAGGGTCATTGTGTTGCTGCATGACCCACCTTCTCTTGAGATTCAGTTCATGGACAGATGTTCTGACATTTTCCTTCAGAATTATCTGATATAATTCATTGTTCCATCAACAATGACGAGCCATCCTGGCCCAGATGCAGCAAAACAGGCCCAAACCATGATACTACCACCACCGTGTTTCACAGCTGGGATAAGTTCCTTCTGCAGGAATGCTGTTTTCCTTTCTCCAAACATAACTCTTTTCCTTTAAGCCAAAAAGTTTTATTCTGGTCACATCTGTCCACAAAACATTCTTCCATCAACCTTCTGGCTTGTCCACGTGATCTTTAGCAACCTGCAGATGAGCAGGGATGTTCTCTTCGGCGAGCAGTAGCTTCTCCTTCAGCCCTGCCATGACACCATTGTTGTTCAGTGTTCTCCTGATGGTGGACTCATGAACATTAACATTAGTCAATGTGAGAGAGGCCTTCAGCTGCTCAGAAGTTACCCTGGGATTTTTTGTGACCTCGCCGACTATTCCACGCCTTGCTCTTGGAGTGATCTTTGTTTGGTCCATCACTCCTGGGGAGGATGACAGTGCTCTTGAATTTCCTCCATTTGTACACGATCTGTCTGACTGTGGATTGGTGGAGTCCAAAATCTTTACAGATGGTTTTGTAACATTTTCCAGCCTGATGAGCATCAACAACTCTTTTTCTGAGCTCCTCAGAACTCTCCTTTGTTCCTGCCATGATCCACTTCCACAAACATGTTGTGAAGAGCAGACTTTGATAGATCCTGTTCTTTAAATCAAACAGTGTCCTCTCACACCTGATCGACATCCCATTGATTGAAAGCACTTGACTCTAATTTCACCTTCAAATTAACTGCTAATCCTAGAGGTTCACATATTTTGCCACTAACAAATATGTAATATTGGATCATTTTCCTCAATAAATCAATGACCAAGTATAATATTTTTTATCTCATTTGTTTAACTGGGTTCTCTTTATCTACTTTTAGGATATATGAAAATCTGAAGATGTTTTAGGTCATATTTATAAATAAATATATAAAATTCTAAAGTGTTCACAAACATTCAAGCACCACTGACTGCAGCTGAAAGTACAGAATCACTAAATTAGCACAACTTCTACAATTTACTTGAACTAATAGATACTAAAATGTCCACATTTCATTTTACCAGAGCAGCTCTCTGTATTTCCACTGAATATATTATTAAAAATTTCCTACAATCCCTGTTGTTTAAATTACCTTAAAAACGTTTAGAAGCAGCTGATGTTGTAACAACTAAATCAGTTGCATCTCCCTACTAACTGTAGCCATTTTGACACTTAATGTAACTAAAACCCCACATCAGATCCTCTGTCAGCTCAGTTCCCACTCCAGTCCAATTTAGAAACCAGTAACCTTACAGTTTTATTTAGCTTCATCCTGCTGTTATGGCTGTCAGCCTTAATCTTTGATTATAAATAATTTCCCCCCGTTTTTTTCCTCTCTAACAATTTCCTGATCTTTTTATAGACCCCCCATCCTTTGTGAAAGTACCCCAGCCCATTGAGGGTCTGAAGGGTAAGGACGTTAGCTTGTACTGTGAGATGAGTGGTTCAGCTCCGTTCCAGGTCACCTGGTTCAAAGACAGGAAACCTCTGATGGAGAGCAGGAAGTTTAAGATGGTGAGCGAGGGCAGCTCAGCCACGCTGCATGTCATTGGGATAGAGGCTTTGGACGCCGGCGAGTATGAGTGCAAAGTGTCGAACAGTGTAGGAAGTGAGAGCTGCAGCACGTCTGTTAAACTCAGAGGTCAGTAGAAACTGTGACAGTCTTCAGTTGATCTTCAGGTCACTGTGTCACTTTGTTGACTGTCCCTTTTGCGTTGTCTCCTCTCCTCAGAGCCACCGTCGTTTGTGAAGAAAATGTCAAACATGACAGTGATACTTGGAGAGGAGGTGACCCTTATGGCCACTGTTAAAGGCTCTGAACCTATTACTGTGTCCTGGGTTCAGGACAAGGATCACATTCTCAGGGACAGTGACAACAGGAAAATCACCTTTGAGAACAACCAGGTGGCACTAAAAGTCTTTAAAGCTGATGCAACCACAGCAGGGAAATACACATGCCAGCTCAGAAACGATGCTGGGACTGTCGAGTGTTTCGCTAACTTGACTGTTCTAGGTTCGTAAGAATATAATTCTCTCTTTCTCTCTCTGGTTAGTTCTCCAAGCCGTCTCTTACAACTTTGTCTAAAACCGTGCTCTGCGCCTTCTCTGCTGTTCCCAGAACCCGCTAAGATTGTGGATAAACCTGATGCTCTGAGTGTGACGGCAGGAGACATCGCTGCCCTGGAGGTCAAAGTGTGCGGAACGCCGGAGCTCGTCCCCAAGTGGTTCAAAGACGGTGTGGAGCTGGCCTCTGGGAGGAAATACAAGATCTCCTTTTCCCGGATGATCTCCAGCCTGAACGTGGTCAATGTTGAGAAATTGGACTCTGGGGAATATACATTTGAGGTCATGAACCAAGTTGGGAAGGACCTGAGTAAAATTAACCTCACTGTTTTAGGTTGGTGTTTTTATTCGTCGTGTTTAATAACTTCATATCAGTGTGAAAAGATAATCGGTTTTTGTCCTCAGGGTTTCTGCAGAAAGTTTCAAATGGGTAAAAGATCCAAACATCTGTCAGATACTCTGCCAGTTAGGGAATATCCCAACAATTTATAGAGTTCATTTACACCAGAATGTTTTAAATGTTACTGTGATGATTAACTTGTTCTTCTCCCAAACAGATAAGATAGTTCCTCCAACATTCACCAGGAAACTGAAGGACTGTAAGATGGTTGTCGGAGAAGCTGCAGAGATGGAGTGTAAAGTGTCGGGCTCCCCACCTTTCACCATTTCCTGGTACCTTGATGGCGAGGAGATCCAGAGTGGGCCGAACTACGAGGTTTTGTTCAGCGACAATAGCTGCACGCTCAGAGTTCCCACCCTGAAGCTGTCAGACTCTGGACTTTATAAATGTGTAGCTGTCAACAAGGCAGGATCCAGTGAAACATCCTCCACGTTGGATGTCAAAGGTTGTTGTGAAACACTTTCTGTTACTGACAAACACCTCCTGTTACTGATGAACACCTGTTACTAACGAACACCTGTTGGTGACAAACACCTCCTGTTACTGACAAACACCTGTTAGTGACAAACACCTGTTAGTGACAAACACCTGTTAATGACAAACACCTGTTAGTGACAAACACCTGTTACTGACAAACACCTGTTACTGACAAACACCTGTTACTGACAAACACCTGTTAGTGACAAACACCTCCTGTTACTGACAAACACCTGTTACTGACGAACACCTCCTGTTACTGACGAACACCTCCTGTTA